GGCCCTCTCTACCTGCCCGTTTTAAGAATCTGTCTGTTGGGCCCACATTGTGGCACTGCTAGTGAAGATACCACCTGCAGTGCCAGCATCCCCTGTAGGCTCTGGTTCAAGTCCCAGCTGTTCCACTGCCAATCCAGTACCCTGCTCATGTGCCTGGGAAAGCAGTGGAAAACGGCCCAAGTCCTGGGGCCCCTGCACCCGCGTGGGAGACCCGGAGAAGTTCCAGGTAAATGGTTTCAGCCTGATACAGCACTGGCCATTGTACTCATTTGGGTAGTAAGCTGGTGGATGGAAGGTATCCCTCATGTTTCTCCTTCTCTAATTCTGCCTTTCTAATAAATACATCTTTTTCAAAAAATGAATATATCAATAAATAAACTCCAAATGAGGTGTGCTTTTTTAAAAATAAGATTTATTTATTTAAAAGGCAGAGTGACAGCGAAAGAGACAGAAGCCTCCCATTCATTGATTCACTCCCCAAATGGCCACAGCAGCCAGAGCTGGGCTCGTCTGCCGCCAGATGCCAGGAACTCCATCGGGGTCTCCCACGGGTGGTGGGCTCCAAGTAACTGGGCCATCTTCTGCTGCCTTCCAAGGCGCATTAGCAGGGATCTGGATTCAGAAGTGGAGCAGCCAGGACTCCAACCTGGTTCTCCAATGTGAGATGCCAGCATTGCAGGTGGAAGCTTAACACACTGCCCCAAATGCCAGCTCCTGCAGCGTCCTTTCAAACTGGTGCAGAGGGGGCTTCAACTGCGCATGAAATGCTTTAGGGTTCAGTGCTGTAGTGTAGGGGGTAAAACCGCAGCCTGCAGTACTGGCATCACATAAGGCTGCTGGTTCAAGTCTCAGCAACTCCACTTCTGATCCAGCTTCCTGCTAATGGCCTGCGAAAGCAGCAGAGGATGGCCTAAGTGTGTGGGCCCCTGCACCCATGTGGGAGACCCTGAAGAAGCTCCTGGCTCCTGGCTTTGGACCTGCCCAGTTCCAGCCATTGTAGCTATTTGGAGAGTGAACCAGCCAATGGAAGACCTCTCTGTCTCTGTCTCTTCCCCCCTCCCTGTGACTCTTGCCTATCAAGTAAATATATCCTTTTTTAAGAAGTACTATTTTAAACTCATTTTGGATATGGAAGTGTTCATTATATTATTCTTATCCCTCGGAAACACATCTTAAATATCGTATGGTAAGTGTTTGGAATATTTTTAAAGGAGCCCACACATATAATATTAGAAAGGCATTCATGATGCTCAAGGTTTAAGATCATGAAAAAATTTCTCACTTACTGTAAATGCAGTTTCCTCCAAAAGTCGTATGGTGTGTGTTTTTTAAAGATTTTATTTATTTGCTTATTTTATTTATTTATTTACTTATTTGAGAGAGGGAGAGACAGAGGGAAAGGTCTTCCATCTGCTGGTTCACTCCCCATATGACTGCAATGACCAGAGCTGGGCCCGTCTGAAGCCAGGAGCCTCTTCTGGGTTTCCCAAGCGGGTATAGGATATCAAGCCCTTAGGCCATCTTCTACTGCTTTCCCAGGCCACAGCAAAGAGCTGGATCAGAAGAGGAGCAGTTGGGACTCGAACTGCAGCCCTTATGGGATTGGGATGCTGGCACCACAGGTGGAGGCTTAGCCCAGTACAGCACAGTGCCGCCCCCACATGGTGTGTTTTAAGTTAGGCACCTTTGCATCACTATGTCTATTAACTTTGATTCCTTTTCTAAATCTGAGCCTTAAGTTTTTTTAAAGATGTATTTATTTATTAAAAGGCAGAGTTACAGAGAGAGGGAGAGATAGAGAGATCTTCCATGTGCTGGTTCACTCCCCAATGGCCACAATGGCCCGAGCTGGGCCAGGCCAAAGCCAGGAGCCAGGAGCTTCTTCCTGGTCTCCCACGTGGGTGCTGGGGCCCAAGCACTTGGGCCATCTTCTGCTTTTCCAGGCCATAGAAGAGAGCCAGATCAGAAGTGGAGCAGCTGGGACTTGAACCGGTGCCTATATGGGATGCAGGCACTGAAGGTGGTGGCTTTTACCTGCTACGCCACGGCGCCGGCCCCCTGAGTCCCAAGTTTTAAGTCACTCCACAGTGATAGTAGCTTTGACTGGCAAGTGTGAAGCCGTCGAGTCCTTTGGGCTGAGGAAGGGTCCCATTTTCCTTTGCTCTAATTATTCATTTTCCTTCTTGCTAAATGGCAAATAATTCTTTCCTAAGCCCTTTTCCTTTCCCAGATACATTCATCAATAAAAAAGATGCAAGTATTAGTGTATGGGTTGTCTTTTTGCCCACAAAATGGGCACATTGTATGACACATTCATATCATTGCTGAAGATGCCATTGAAAGTTCTCACCTTCTGAATTCAGTTAGGTAATATTTTTTTTAATTTTTATTTATTTATTTATGACAGGCAGAGTGGACAGTGAGAGAGACAGAGAGAAAGGTCTTCCTTTTTCCGTTGGTTCACCCCCCAATGGCTGCTGTAGCCGGTGCTCCGAAGCCAGTAGCCAGGTGCTTCTCCTGGTCTCCCATGGGGTGCAGGGCCCAAGCACTTGGTCCATCCTCCACTGCACTCCCGGGCCACAGCAGAGAGCTGGCCTGGAAGAGGGGCAACTGGGACAGAATCCAGTGCCCCGACCGGGACTAGAACCCGGTGTGCCAGCGCCGCTAGGTGGAGGATTAGCAGTTAGGTAATATCTTTTATAAAGGATTTTCAGGGCAGGCCACGGTTAAGTTGCCACTTGAGACACCTGCATCTCCTATCTCAGAACCTGGGTTTGAGTTCTGGCCCTGCTCCCAATTCCCTCTTCCTACGAGTGCTCACCCTGGGAGGCAGCAGGAGATGGTTCAAGTACTTGGGTCCCTGCCACCCGTGTGGGAGACCTGACCTGAGTTCCAGGCTCCTGCCTTTGGGCCAACCCAGCCCCGGCCGTTGCTGGCATTGGGGAGTGAGCCACCAGATAGGTGATCTCTCTGCCTTTCAAGTTGATTAATAATTTTTTGGAAAAAAAAAAAAAAAACTTATCGGCCGGCGCCACGGCTCACTAGGCTAATCCTCCACCTGTGGCACCAGCTCCCCGGGTTCTAGTCCCAGTTGGGGTGCCGGATTCTGTCCCGGTTGCTCCTCTTCCAGTCCAGCTTTCTGCTGTAGCCCAGGTGTGCAGTGGAGGATGGCCCAAGTTCTTGGGCCCTGCACCCGCATGGGAGACCAGGAGAAGCACCTGGCTCCTGGCTTCAGATCGGTGCAGTGTGCCAGCCATAACGGCCATTTGTGGGGTGAACCAACAGAAGGAAAACCTTTCTCTCCTCTCCGTCTCTTTCTCTCACTGTCTAACTCTGCCCGTCAAAAAAAAAAAAAACCTTATCAGAACCCCAAATAAGACAGGTGTAATGGCGATGAGTGGGATCGGTGTGAAATACTGGGGAGACAGCCTCTACTGGAAGATTCTCCACAAGCAGCCAAGCATTTAGAGACAAAGCCTCTCTCCCTTACACGAGACCCCAGCCCTCACCACTGAAAGCCATGTTTTTCTCAGGGCCTTGGTAGCAAAACCCTGGGGAGCGTAGTCTTTGTGTGAGGGCTTCGGAAATTTCGTGGGAATGCAGATTACAAGAAACTATGCATAGATTTCAAACTTTTTGTGCCAAAATTAATTTATCTTTTTTTTTTAAAGATTTATTTATTTATTTGAAAGTCAGAGTTACACAGAGAGAGAAGAGGCAGAGAGAGAGGTCTTCCATCCACTGGTTCACTCCCCAATTGGCCGCAGTGATGGAACGGTGCTGATCCGAAGCCAGGAGCCAGGAGCTTCTTCCAGGTCTCCCACGCAGGTGCAGGGGCCCAAGGACTTGGGCCATCTTCTACTGCTATCCCAGGCCACAGCAGAGAGCTGGACTGGAAGAGGAACAACCGGGACTGGAGCCTGGGGTTCCGGCGCCGCAGGCAGAAGATTAGCCAGTGAGCCGCGGCACCGGCCCATGAAGACTTTTCATCACAGTGTTATTTCTGATGATTAAAAAAGAAATCCTGAAAAATCCTAACCCACAGGAGACTGGATTAGCAACTCGGAGGCACCATATGGTTGGCTATCTTACAGCAACTAAGATAAATAAACTAAGCTCCTATGTTTGAATACTGGTAAGTCGGAAACATAGGCTAAGGAGAAAGGCCAGCACAAGGCTGAAAGGTGTACAGACACCATATCACATGCTGTCCATGGGGCCATCCACATCAAATCAATGCATAACAACCATGCAAAGGCATGATACACTCCAAAGTCAGCAGGCTTGGAGAAAACCAAGGTTGTCACATTTTATTTCTAAGGCTGGTAATGGGTCAAGAGACATTCATTACATCTAAATGGCTTTCATATTGCAACGTATCAACAGTGTAGCTTAGGCAGAAATGGGAGAGGACTAGCTTGAAAATGAAGTTTATCGGAAGATCAGATTTTATTCAAAGTAGAAATACAGAGAAAACCTGTGAAGGCGAAGCCTCTGCCTCGAAAACTGGAACAAAACTGCAAAGACAACAGAGAAGATGTCGCCAAAACCCATCACTTACAAAACACGCCAGTTTTGCTCCATTGTAACCAAAAAGGGATGGTGGCCGCCTGTACTTGATTGCACAAAAGCCATCGAGGGAGAATCGCAATAGGAGGCCAATTATGCAAGCAGAAGCTAAGATCTCCTAGCATGCTAAAATGACTTCCCTTATGGAAATCCCCAAAGGGTGGCTGTTTGGATTAACCTCTGAACGGGCACGTGCCACACTTGCCATCTGCCCCGGGAATGGTAGAGCCGACTCTGGAAGGTTGGGCACAGGAAGGAGAGGAGACAGGGAAATTGTGGGTTGTACATGAGCCTGAGTGTTCTCAACCACATGCCCTGGGATTTCCCTATTAATCTGAGCATCTGATGTTTCTCCCACCCACGGGAGCTAACATCAAAGTGCAATAGGCCACTGTAGCCTGACTGGCATTGCTTCATTTGCTTTGTTGTAGCACCCCCGTATGGAAATGTCTGCAGCAAAAGACCACAGAACCCATTGCCGTAGCACCTTCCAATCTGGCTGGCCACAGGGGTCCCTGGGGCAGCCTGCCTCCATTCCTGCACCAACAGACAAGGTTGAAATGGCTCGAGGAAAAACTAGAGAGATGCTCAAGAGCGTGCACCACACTGACCATTTCACCAACAGACACGTCATCCCACTAACTGCCTCGTCTCACTCATCGCCCTGAAGGAAGCTGGCAGCGGCACTCCCGCATTTACTTCCAGTAATGCATCCATGTTTCTAAAAAGGTAATTAACCTATACTTTCACGGCTTCTCCATTTCAGAAACAATTTGTTGACTTCCTATCATAAAATATGAGTGTTTGGACCCCTCACTTCTCCTTCCCTTTCCCATATCTTCTCAATGTATTATATAAGCATTTTAGTTAAATTGGCACTTAAAACAATGAGATGTTGAGACAACATCTTCCACCTGCTAGTTCACAAATGGCCTCAACAGCCAGGACACCGCCAGGTTGAAGCCTGAAACTCCAGCCGGGTCAGCCACCAGGTGGCAGGGCTCAAGTTCATGGGCCATCACCTGCTGTTTTCCCAGGATGCATTATTAGGAAGCAAGATGGGAAGTGGAGCAGCTGGGACTCAAACCAGCACTCCAGTATGGGATGCCAGCATTGCAAGCAGCAGCTAGTACACTGCACTACCACGCCAGCCCCTATGTTTCATATCTTGCATAACTTTTTATTTTTCTTAGAGCGAGTACTTGGTTTCCATGTGTTTAATTTTTTTAAAGCCCTTACCTTTTATTCTTGCTCTTCTTGCAATTGCAAAGAGGCTCTCAACATAATTTTCCATGTGGTCAAACATGTAAGGTAATACCCATTCCTCTAAAACTAAACAACTCTGCAGACCTTCCACTCAGCTCCCATCTTAACCGCTGATTCCCAGACCCCTCTGCACAACCGTCATCTGAGGGTTCTGTCGCCATTCTGAAATGCACCTGCTGCTGGATCCCCTACCTCCTGGCCCCTCTGCCATACTCTTCCGTGGTTTCCTCCCTCACGTGGATGCAATGCATCCTGCAATAGCTTCCCAGAAAGACAGCTCCTGAGGTCAGCACAAGCGACCTGACTGGTCTTGGGTAGGTACAGAGTTCAAGTTGAAAATCATCCTCACTTAGAATTTTGAGAGAGACCTCTTCTATTGGTTCACCCCCCAAATGGCCGCTACGGCCGCCACGCTGCACTGATCTGACGCCAGGAGCCAGGTGCTTCCTCCTGGTCTCCCATGCGCGTGCAGGGCCCAAGCACTTGGCCCATCCTCCACTGCCTTCCCGGGCCATAGCAGAGAGCTGGACTAGAAGAGGAGCAACCGGGACAGAACTGGCACCCCGTCCAGGACTAGAACCCTGTGCCGGCACTGCAGGCGGAGGATTAGCCTAGTGAGCCGCGGCGCCGGCCAAGTATGGATTCTTTGTACATGACTTGATTGTTCCCTCTGAAGTTTTGAAAAATCAGGGGATGGCGCTGTGGCACAGTGGGTTAAGCCCACCTGGGATACTGGAATCCCAATATGAGTACCAGTTTGAGTCCTGGCTACTCCATTTTTGATCCAGTTCCCTGTTGATGCACCTGAGAAGGCAGCAGAAGATGGCCCAAGTATTTGGGTCCCTGCCACCCACATGGGACACCCAGATGAAGTTCCAGGCTTCTGGCTTTGCCTTGGCCAGCCCCGGCTATTGCAGCTATTTGGGGAGTGAACCAGCAAATGGAAGAGCCCTTTCTCTGTCTTTCCTTCTCTGTCACTCTGCCTTTCAAATAAATAAATCCTTAAAAACAACTCAATCTACATTTCTAATAAAGAAAGAGAAGAAAACTCATTGGCTTTCTGGAATTAGTAACCTGACATTGGTCTTTTTTATTTTTTTTAAGATTTACCTATATGAAAGTCAGAGTTAAAGAGAGAGAGAGGAGAGGCAGAGAGGTCTTCCATCCGCTGGTTCACTCCCCAGTTGACCGCAATGGCCAGAGCTGTGCTGATCCGAAGTCAGGAGCCAGGAGCTTCTTCTGGGTCTCCCATGCAGGCGCAGGGACCCAAGGTCTTGGGCCATCTTCTACTGCTTTCCCAGGCCATAGCAGAGAGCTGGATCAGAAGTGGAGCATCCAGGTCTCGAATCAGCTGCCACATGGGATGCTGGCACTGCAGGCCGTGGCTTTACCCACTATGCCACAGCGCCGGCCCCGGCATTGGTCTTTATTCTGGTTGTTGTACTGAGTACTGGCCTGGCCCTTCCCACCTGTAGTTCTTTCCGTTCTGAGAAATGTCCTTGAATCATTTCTATATTCTTTCCTCTCCAGCTTGCCTTTTTCTCAGCATCCTATGGATTCATCGCTGAGCCTTCTGGATCGGTGTTACAATTTTCTTTTCACTTTCATTATCATCTCTTTGACTTTTCGTCCTGGAGGATTTCCTCAACTTTATTTCCTACTTATTGTTTGTTTCAGAAGCCGAGAGCACACTCCCATCTGCTGTTTCACTCCCCAGATACCTGCAGCACCCTGGACTGGACAGGGCCAAAGCCAGGACAACCCAGGTCTCCCATGCAGTGACAGGGATCCAGATACTTGGAGCTATCCCACTGCCTCCCAGGGGCGGGAAGGTGGAGTTGGGGCCAGGAGCCAGGAATCTAACCCTGGGACTCTGATGTGGGACATGGCTGTCTTAACAGGCCTCCTAACCACCAGGCTAAACATCTACCCCAGTGAGCCTATTTTAGTTTCCAAATGTTCTTTTGTTATTGTTGTTCTTTTTATATAACGTCTTGTTTTCTTTCCCTGATGCAATGCCTTCTCTGAGGATGTTAATTACTGCAGGTGGCAATTGGATTTGGTTTTCTTTTTTTTTGTTTGTTTTTTGGTTTTTTTTTTTTTTTTTTTTTTTTTTTCTGCACAAGTTTTCTTCTTTATCTCTGTTTCCTCTGAAAAGCTCTTATAGCTGACTGGTTGACCATGGGTATCTGAGGAACTGGTTCAAGACACCCCTCCCCCCACCTAAAACACACAGATGCTCCAGTCTTTTATATCAAACCGTGTAGTATCTGCATGAAACCTGTGCACATCTTCCCCTATGCTTTAAATCATAGACTACGTAGGATACCTAATACGACGTACATTCTAGGTACGCAGTTACACACTGTCTTGTTTAGGGGATAATGACAAGAAAAATGTCTGTCCATATTCAGTACAAATGCAATTGTTTTCCAAGTACTGTTGATCCTCAGTTGGCTGAACCCGTGGCTGTGGCATCCGTAGTTATGGCGAGCTGGCCCTTTCCCCTGATCTGGAGTTCACACCAGACTCTTCCCCAGGGTACAGGGATCTTCGGCACGGGTACTGCAGATCAGCACCGGGTGGGGGTGGGAGTTCCTCGCTTGCTGTAGAGCGTTGAGGGTCACGCTGGCGGCTTCTCTCCCCAGGGGCTCCTAGAGGTTCCCATCTGCAGGTCTCTTCTTTTAGAGCAGCTCTGAGAAAGGTCTGGCAAGTGCCTGCCTGATGCTGGGAGCCCGGGAAGTGTCTGGGGGCGAGGAGGCAGGCTTTCCTGTCACCCCCATCTCGGCCTGAGGCTCTGAGCCCACAGACTTTCTGGCTCAGTTTTCCAGAAATAAACTTCCCAGAATCCCCTTCTAGGACTGCGGTGAAGAACTTGAAGTATCCTGCAGATTTTCAACTCAGCATCCAGTTGTCAGCCTACGCTTGCTCCTACACCCATGGAAATCAGCACCTCCGATTCCTGAGCTTTCCGGAGGTCCATGGAGCAGGAGTCTCTCTCCAGTCACCTTCCTGGCATCTCTGCTTTGGTGTTCAACACGCCCATCTAACTCAGCACCTACTCGGCTGTCTCCTGACCCTCCTCCTGACACGCGACCCTCTATCTTCCCAGACTCCGACGATGGCAGCCTCTTCCTTCCATCTATTCAGCCCCAAAACCTTCAAGTCATCACGGATTCCTCTGAAATTCTGTTGACTTAGCTCCTGAAGATATTCAGAGTCTCACCCCTTGTCATTTCTGCAGCTGCTGGCCTGTCAAAGCCACCCTTGTCTCTCACCGAGGTGGTTGTAACCATCTTCAAACTCTCTTCCTGCTTCTGCCCCCAGCCCCTAGCACCTTGCCTTGGTAGGAGACGCAGCTAAAATGCAAGTCAGCGGATGCTGTGATAGTGCAGCAAATTAAGCTGCTGCCTGGCTTGCCAGCGTCGCACCCTGGAATGCCAGCTGGAGTCCCGGCTGCTCCACTTCCCATCCAGCTCCCTGCTGAGGCACCTCGGAAGGCAGTAGAGGATGGCCCAAGTGCCTGGGCCTCTGCACTCCCGTGGGAGACCTGGATGGAGCTCCTGGGCTCCTGACTTTGGCCTGGTCCAGACCTGTGATACTGCAGCTGTTTGAGGAGTGAACCAATGGATAGAAGCTCTCACTCGCTCACTCGCTCTCTCTCTCTCTCTCTCTGTCACTCTGCCTTTCAAATAAATAATCTTTTTTAAAAAAATTGAAATTCTGATTTAAAAATCTCAAATTAAAAATTAACAGCAGATAGAAGATGACATAGGAAGTCATCAGTGAATCTGAAGCTTGACCAACGTAAATTAATCTGAAGAAAAAATAAGAAATAAATAGAACGGCCCTCACGGAGTTGTGAAGAAATATCAGAATGTCTAACTTACTTTTATGAGAATCCCCGAAGAATGGAAGATGAGACAGAACAAAATATTGGCGAAGTCATAGCTGAAGAATTCCTAAATTTGGCAAAAGGTGCAAATTTCCAGACACAAGTTCAATAAACCCCAATCAGGATAAATATGAAGAAGAAAGCCATGGTTAAGCAAATGATTATCAAATCCTGAAAACCAAAGATAATAAGAAAAACCAAGAGCAGCTGGAGGAAAATGCCCGTGGACAGGGCACAGGGACTGCTCACCAGACACGATGCAGGCCTGCCTGACAATTTTTTTAAGACCATTTTTTTTTTTTTTTTTTTGAAAAGCAGAGTGACAGAGCGGAGAGATGGAGAAAGATCTTCCATCTGCAGGTTTACTCCCCAAGTGGCCACAATGACCACGTAGGCCAAAGTCAGCAGCCAGGATCTCAGGAGCTCAAGCACATGGGCCATCCTATGCTGTTTCCCCGGGCACATTAGCAGGGAGCTGGATCAGAACCGGAGCTGCTGGGACTTGAGCCAGCGCTCCCATAGGGGACATCAATGTCTTAAGCAATGGCTTAACCTCCTGCACCACAACACTGGCCCTCAGAATAAATATTGTAAACCCAGAATCTGTTTTCAATGAAACTATCCTTTAAGAACTGAGGGCAAATAGAAACATTTTCAGACCAAATTAAAAGATTTCATTGCCACAAGAGCTATAATAGATACAGGGTGTACAGACTCAGAGGAGAAGCTCTGGACACCAGTGTTCAGGTGAGCTCCCTATGCGACGGCCATGTAGCAGGGTGCCGGGCAGGGGGTGCACCCTCAGGATAAATAAATGGACCTTGAAAGAAGATTCAAACAACGCCAAAACAGGCAATCACGGAGGAGCAAAGGAGAAGACAGGGCATACGCAGGAAAGATGACAATAATGTGGCAGATCTAAATTCCACCCCATCAACAACTACATTGCGGGCAGGTGTCTGGCCTAGCTACGATGCCTGTGTCCCACATAGGAGCACTTGGTTCGATACCTGGCCCCAGCTCTACCCCCAGCTTCCTCTAATCCCAGCAGTGATGACTCAAATGATTGGGATGCTGCCACGTGGGATCGGATCTCTCCACGTGGGAGAGTGGCACTGAGGTTCTGGCTCCCGTTTTTAGCCTGGGCCAGTCTAGGCTGTTGTGGCTATTTGGGGCGTGACTCAATAGATGGGAGAGCGCTCTCGCTCTCTAACAATAAATATCAGGTTTTTTTTAAAGTTATATTAAATTTTAATGTGCTAAGCACTCCAATTAAAATGTGGGCTGGCAAGCAGCTCCCCCAGTTGCTTGCTTTCTGGGGAAAAGGAACAGACTGTTCCTTCTCTTTGCCTCCTGTGCCTGTGTGAAACAATTGGAGTGCATCTGCCCGAATGCAGGTGCTTCCTCTCCCACACGCCCGACCTTCAACCTAGAAAGTCCTTCCTGCTCCACCCCATTGTCACCTGCAACGCACAACACATGGCACACCACACACACACACACACACACACGTCTTCCCATGAAGGCAGCATGAGCTGAACCCCATTGGGTCATAGCCGTCCCTTCACCTGCACAGGTGAGAATAGGTATCTTGTTGGATGAGCTCCCTGGCAGCTGGGGCTTGATTTTGTTTGTGGCTCTACCTCTGCACCAGAGGGTAGAGGGGTCACCCGGCTGTCAAGTACACTGATTGATAAACCAAATCAAGTGGCAAGTACGGTAGGCTATAGCTTACCAACTCCTCTCTGTAACAACTAATTTGAGTCAGGCAATGATCCAGCCTTACTCTGTTAAATACCAGCCTGGCAGCTTGGCCCAGCACCATGTCTTTTTCCTGTCTAGCACACACGTATCTGCTTACACAAATTAACATTCCTGCCTTGATACATTTTTTTAAAAATTATTTATTTGAAATGAATGGGGAGGGTGAGGGAGGAAGGGGGAGAGAGAACTTCCATCCACCTATTCACTCCCCAAATGGCAGCAATGGTGGAGCTGGGCTGATGTGAAGCCAGGAGCTTCTTTCAGGTTTCCCACTTGGGCACAGGGGCCCAAGCACTTGGGACATCTTCCACTGCTTTCCTAGGCCATCAGCAGGGAGCTGGATCAGAAGCAGAGCAGCTAGGACTTGAACAGGTGCCATACGGGATGCCAGCGTCCAAGGCAGTGGTCTTACTCATTATGCCACAATGCTGGGCCCCCTTGTGGATATTTTGAAAAAAAAAAAAATTATTTGTTCCTTTATTGAAAGGCAGAGTGACAGAGAAAGGGAGACAGAGAGAGAGAACAAAATCCTCCATCTGCTGGTTCACTCCTCCAAATGGCCACAACCAGGCAGATCTGGGCCAGGCTGAAGTCAGAAGCAAGGGACTTCATCCAGGTCTCCCATGTGGTTGGCAGGGACGAAGTACTTGATCCTTCCCAGGTACATTAGCAGGAAGCTGAGCAGGTTGGAAGCCGAGCAGCTGGGACTCAAACTGGAGTCATAAGTGGTGACTTAACCTGCTGCTCCACAACCCCAGTTGCTTGTGATCTCTTTGAAATGAGAATTTAGTGTGATTTAACTCATTTTGTAGACTTTAAATTTTCAGAAATTTTATTTATGAGAGACAGAGCTACCATCTCCTAATTCACTCTACAGATTCCCACAATGGCTGGGGCTGGGCTGAGCTGAAGCTGAGAGCCAGGTGAACTCAGACCAGTCTTCTATGTAGGTGACAGGGACCCAGGTACTTGAGCTATCACTGCTGAATTAGCAGGAAACTGGAGTCAAGAGATGGGCTTGGGAATTGAACTCAGTCACTCTCCTGGGATGTGGGCACCCTAACCAGTGTCTTAACCAGGAGGCTAAACACCCTCCTGCTACAGATCTTCTTCAAGCAGAATATATCTATTGATAATATAGAACATTCCTGTATCTGTGTGTGAAAACTATTCTTAATTGTGATACATGCACAGAAGGCCCCTGCTATTGACCCTGGACACTCTGGCTAGGATCGCTGGCTGCATGGGAGGGGCCAGGTGTGTGAACACAGACCCTGGACGGGAGGAACAGCAGGCAAAGCGCGGCTGACGCCCGACCGCTAAGGAGCTGCCGCTTCATGCCCCGCGGGCTTGATGATAAGGTGCCTGCCGTCCACATGCCAACCCGGCGGGAGCTGGCAGGACATCCTCGCCGCAAACACAATCACAGATACCCGAGGGCTTGCATTCCACCCAGAGCCCGGCAATTGCTGTGGTCTGGGCAAGAAACTCCCACTCAAGCACGCTGAGCTCCAGGAGCCTGCCATCCACGCCGTCATGTCGCCCAGGGCCCCGGGCCGCTCCGACCGCACGACCGGCAGAAGCGCGTGCAACCCCACCATGTAATTTTTGTCTGGGCAGTGAAATACCTCCGTCCTTACATCATTTTCCTTAACTTAGCAATCCCATGAAAGAATGAAGGCCAGCTCGGATCCCTTCCCAGAGCCAGTGATTCAAACGTCTTCTTTAATGTCACGGCCCTGCACATGCAGCCATAGAATCCCACCCCACTGCTCTTTGTAGCCCCAAAACAAGGCGTCGAGGTGTGCATTATCCGTCCTGCTTCCTGGTCCAGCCAGAGTCCCTCCTCCGTGACAGATAATGGGGAGCCCGGCCAAGGCACATCTAAGGGACCCATTCCCGCTTCCCTGCCCCACGGCCCCACACAAAGAGACTGCCGGAAACGCCTGGCGAGTGCCCGGCGGGTAGCCACAGTGTCCCAGAAAGGAATTCCAAGCCCACAACAGAGCGTTTCTCATTTGGGGAGGGGCTGGCCACCTGCCAAAGGCGGGTGGCCCAGTGATGAAATCCTGCAAGGCCACAGTGCTAATTCATGTCGTAGTGGGAATGGGGACAGGCTTTTGTGCTGACCAGAACGTGCCTGCGCACAAGCTCCCATTAGAACTGGGGCTGTCAGGAGAAGGCATAGAAACCCGCCATATCCGTACTGTTCCGTGTGTGTGTGCGCGCGCATGCGCGTGCATGTACGCATGCGTATTCAAAGTATGCATATTCATGCACGAGTTATGTAATTATAAGTTATTTTCAACATCAAAAGACAACGGTGTTTGCTGCTGCCTTGAGCACCCTGGGGTTCCGGGGTGTTCTGTGCTGATCTCAAACACACAGCCTTCCATGTTCTCTCAGGGCGGCCAGCACTTGACCACCAGCGTCACCGCCTCCCAGGCCCAAAGCGCGCACGCAGCTACCTCCAAGGACATCAGAGGGGACAGGTCAGACAGAGCTGGTTCTCCATCACCTGCAGTGCGGTTGTGGCATCTGGAGACCACAGGCAGATGAACAAGGGGCCAGAACCAGAGACAGGAGCTAGGCCCTGTATGGGTGTGGTGTACAAGTTAAAAAACTTCTGGGGGCAGGCGCCATGGCTCACTAGGCTAATCCTCCGCCTGCTGCGCCGGCACCCCGGGTTCTAGTCCCAGTTGGGGCACCGGATTCTGTCCCGGTTGCTCCTCTTCCAGGCCAGCTCTCTGCTGTGGCCTGGGAGTGCAGTGGAGGATGGCCCAAGTGCTTGGGCCCTGCACCCACATGGGAGACCAGGATAAGTATCTGGCTCCTGGCTTCAGATCGGTGCAGCCGTAGCGGCCATTTGGGGGGTGAACCAACAGAAGGAAGACCTGTCTCTCTCTCTCTCTCTCTCTCTCTCTCTCTCTTCACTGTCTAACTCTAACTCTGCCTGTCCAAAAAAAACAAAAAACTGCTGCAATATTGATGGGGAAAGGGAGAGACAGAGGTCTTCCATCCGCTGGTTCACTCCCCAAACGGCCGAAGCTGGACCAATCCAAAGCCGGGAGCCAGAACCTTCTTCCAGGTCTCCATGTGGGTGCAGGGACCCAAGCACCTGGGCCACCTTCCACAGCTTTCCCAGGCCATCAGCAAGGAGCTGGACCAGAAGCGGTGCCCATATGGGATGCTGGCACTGTAGGCAGAGACTTAACCTACTATGCCACAGCACTGGCCCTGTAAATACATTTTCTAATGTAGAATAAGAAATTCACAGTCCCTTCTGATCCCACGCCACGGCCCCATCTCAGGTCCCTGTCCTCCAGGGTGTCCCTCCCATGCACCCCTCTTGCAGTCCTGCTACCCTGCCCCCTCCCTGGGCAGCTCAGCAGGAGACAACGTGTGAAAGCTCTAGCTTTAGAACTGTGGGTGTTCACAGACTGCAGGAGAGGGACAGGTGTGGCAGCCACGGTCAGGAGGACTCAGTCGATGAGGAAGGGGATGAGGCTGCCAACCCTGATCCCTCCACCTCTCGACCCAGTGCTCCCACCACACCCGCTGTCAAATGAAGCAGCTCAGTGAAGTGCCCCAACCCTGAGTCACATCAACGGGGTCCTGTGGCTCTGGCTCCTGACTCTGGCTTGCTGCTGATGCAGCCCCTGGGAGGCAGCAGTGATGGCCCAGGTCACTGGGTTGCTGTCACCCACATGGGAGACCTGGATTGAGCTTCAGCCCAGCTCTGACATTCACAATGTGACCTTGAACAATCACTGTCCCGGTGCCTGTTGCAAAATGGGGCTAATCCTCCCCTCCCCTGAGCTGTTGGATAGATTGAAACAAAGCTGTGCCTGCTTCGTGCTTAGCATAGCACCTGGGACGCAGGAAATGTTGGAGCCATGGTTCCCAGCTCTCTCGACCCTCCCTCTCTAGCACGCGCTCTTTCACTTGGTTCCTCCTGGAGGCTGGCGCCCCTGACTGGGCATTTTCTGTTCCTGCTGTCCTCCTCGGAGAGGCCGCTCCCGACCCATTGCCCAGGCCTACCAGAAATTCTCCGGGCCTGCTTGTCACTGCTCAAGACAGTGGTCTTGGACCCCAGCGGTGAGCAAGGGTCTGGGACAACTCTATGGACCTGGTGGGGCAGGGATGGGGATTGGGGGCACCCACCTGAGCGGATCTCTCAAGGGATGTAGGCAGCTTCCACACCCGTCCCCACCTCCCCGTGGCCTTTCCCTCCCCAGCTGCTCCCTGGGCTGGCTCAGATACGCAGCTTGTCTGCCGCCCCTCGGCTTGGGTGGGCTGCCCCTGTGCTCGGCCATGAGGGAGCTCGCCCACTGTGACAGCTGGGTGCTCACTGCATCTGAGGCAGGCCTCCGGGGACACTCACCAGCTCCTCCAGGCCCTCGGTCCTGCAGCAGCCCAGCCTGTCTTCCTTCCTCTCCGCACCGCTCTGCCTCACAGCCTCCAGGAAGACCCTCATTCTCCAGGTGCAAGGCTGTGGGCCACAGGCTGGAGCTTCAGGGCTGACCCCCAGAACTCAGGACACCTGAGCCCAGGACCCAGCCCTCCCCTCCCACCCCGAGGGCGCCCAACTTCTCTGCACATTTGAATCACCTGAGCCATTGAAAAAAAAATTCCGCAAATATGCAGAGCAGGGATAGCACCCTCTCTGGGGTGAGGCAGGCAGTGTGGTTTTCATTAAACTTCCCAAGTGATTCCAATGTGCCGACAAGGGTGGAAGCAGCCATCCTCGCACCCGGAGCACCAGGAGGCTCAAACCGTGGCCAGACTCTGCACTGACCGTGTCGAGGGCTCGCCGCCGGTCCCCACCACAGGGATGCCCCAGAACTGGGGACATCTAAACATCAGAGTATACTTCGTGGGTCTGTGAGAAGCCGCGACCTGTCTGCCAGCTGCGGGAAAGCTCATTAAAACGCTGGGACAAATGTGCACAGTCACGGTGAGTGCTGAAGAGTTAAAGGCTGCCTTGACTTTTTTTTTTTTTTTTTTTTTTTTTTTTACAGGCAGAGTGGACAGTGAGAGAGAGACAGAGAGAAAGGTCTTCCTTTTTGCCGTTGGTTCACCCTCCAATGGCCGACGCGCTGTGTCCGGCTCACCGCGCTGATCTGATGGCAGGAGCCAGGTGCTTGTCCTGGTCTCCCATGGGGTGCAGGGCCCAAGGACTTGGGCCATCCTCCACTGCCTTCCCTGGCCACAGCAGAGAGCTGGCCTGGAAGAGGGGCAACTGGGAAAGAATCCAGCACCCCGACCAGGACTAGAACCCGGTGTGCTGGCACTGCAAGGCGGAGGATTAGCCTAGTGAGCCGCGGCGCCTGCCTGCCTGCCTTGACTTTTTTTTAAAAGATTATTTATTTATTCAGTTATTTGAAGGGGTAGAATGACAGAATGGAAGAGACAGAGTGAGCGAGAGAGAGAGCATGCAAGAGAGCACAAGTGGGCACTTCCATCTGCTGGTTCACTCCCAAGTGCCTGCACCAGCTGGGTTTGGGTCAGAACAGGAACTGGGAACTTTCCGACTCTCCCGCGTGGGTATCAGGAAACAAAGTACTTGGGTCTTCGTGCCCTGCTTGCCCACGCGCGTTAGCAGGAAGCGGATTGAAGCTGAGTAGCCAGGACTTGAAGCAGCACTCTGCTCTGGGACGCAGGTGTCCCAACTAATGGCTCATCCTGCAGTGCCATGCCTGCCCTCGGCTTGTTTTGGCTTTGCTTTTTTTTAATGAATAAAATTTTGGGAAGCAGAAATACGAGTAAACACGAAGCATCCTTTTAAAAATTCAGCATGAGGGGTGGCCTCCCCAGGTGCTTCTGACGGTGTTACCATGGCAGTCAGATGTCCCTGAACACCGGGGGTGTGTTCTGCGGAATGTGTCACTGATGATTTCATGGCTGTGTGCACGTGGTGGAGTGGTGGGCGAGGCCACGCCCTCAGCACTGCCTGCTTCAGCAATCAAGCACCAAGCTAAATTCCAGATGTACAGAGCTGTGGCAGCACTGCATACTGCTCTAGAGAAAACCTCTTTTTGAAATTTTGTTGTTGTTATTTGAAAGTCTGAGTAACAGAGGAAGACACAGAGAGAGGTCTTCTATCTGCTGGTTCACTCCACAAATGGCCACAATGGTCAGGGCTGGGCCAGGCTGAAGCCAGGAGCCTGGAACTCCATCTGGCCCACACTAAGGACCTGGGCCATCTTCCTCTGCTTTCCCAGGTGCATTAGCAGAGAACTGCATGAGAAGTGGAACAGCCTGGACTCGAACCGGCATCCTTATGGGATGCCGGCATCACAGGTGGTGGCTTAACCCGCTGCGCCACAGAGCCAGCCCCAAGGACCTATGTTGTTACTTGGTTGCTTTGACTTTCACGGGTTCAGAGACTGGAGGTCAAGCAGCCTGGTGGTTCATAACCATCTGGGAGTCCTGGGCCCCTTTTCTGAGTCCAGTAAAGACGCTGGTGCCTCCTCAGGGAGAGGAGTACATGGGGACGATTTTGCATACGATTCCCGGGGGCACTGCACTCTGAGAGTTCCCTGCTCCACGTCCCCCGTGTAATCCCATAGACAAGGAAACATGGATGCCCGAGAGGCTGAGGTGACCCAGACTGCCAGTGAATGACACTGTCAGGACTCGAACCCAGATCCCTCAACCCCATGGCCATTGCAGCAGAGACAAGCCCAGCAGGGCAACACTGCCTGAGTTCTGAGCCTTGATCCTGCTGCCTATTGGCTCTGAGCCTTGTGTGACTCGAAGCGCACCTCTGTGCCTCAGTTTCTCCCACTGAAGATGGGGTGAGGATAACGGGACCTCCTCCGAGTGCCCTCCACCTTAGTGTTGTGTGTTTACTGTAATCGTTTAACAGGAAGACAGACAAGTGCCAGGAGCCGGGCCAGGAGCTGGGCAATGCCCCAGGCCACCGAGCCGTGACTCTGGGTTCCTCCTGGGCTTGTCACCCACCGGGGCCAGCAGAAGGTGCAAGGGACCAGGAGCTGCTTTCTCAGGGAGTAACCCTCAAGTTCAACCCGGTCGACAAGCAGAGGTGAGCAGCGAGGAGGGGCCGTGGTGGGAGTCAGTGGTTTAGGAAAAGGGATGGAGACCCAGATGGAGGGAAGCCAGCAGGGCGAGGGGACAGGCTGCCGCCCTTCCCCCATCCTCGGTGACAGCTCAGGGCAGGAGCCTGCAGGGGCTGGCTTCCTGTGGCGTCCAGCCTTAGGGAACCTCGCAGCCAGCCCAGAAGGAGGACTCTGCTAACCCCACTCCCGGGAGCTGTGGGCTGGGCAGCTACCGCAACTTTCAGTTTTGTTTTCTGCAGAAACGAAACAAAACGAAACTCAACCGAGAGACTCCAGAGGCTGGAGCATGGAGGGTGACTTCCAGGAGTGCGGGCGCTGGTAAGCAGGCAGCTTCTCCTGCAGGTGCCCCAGGCTGGCGGGGGACAGGGGCACACAGCACACGGGGCTGTTTCCAAGACAGGCAGGACCGGTCCTGCCCAGAACACCCCGGGAAGGGCGAGTGGGAGGGGACAGGGAACCACCAGGGTGGGAAGCTCTCAGCTTCCCCAAGGGTGGGCAGCACAGCCTTCACTTTCCTGCACGCCCTGTTCCCAGAGACCCTGGACTTTCTGGGTCAGCCTCAAGTTCAACAGCCAGGCTCAGAGCCCTTCTGTGTCAGAGCCTGAGTACTGGCTTGGGGTTCTAATGACACTCATGGGGTCCCCGGGCCGATCTGTGGAAGGAAGGGGTTTGGGGAGATTGTCCAGGACCATTC